GGTAAGAATTTAGGTCCTCTAGGTGAAAAGTGGCTGTGTATCCTCAGCGTCAGTTTATTACTCCTCTAGAGCGTTCTTTTGCTTGTTTTGTTTTCAAGCTCCTCCCAAGTCTCCATTAAACTTTTCTTTCCAAGTAGAGGACATATCTTTTAATATCAAATCTTGTATCTGTTTTATCTGTCCTATTACCTAAAGAGGGTAGCACAAGGGAAGTTATATTGCAGTGTGAAATATGACAGACAGTGATATCAGCGTTTTCTGGGTAAGTTGATTAGCTGTTTGACATCTGAGGTATCTCACTGTGGCACTTATCTTGGTGAATTCCTTATCATCTATGGTCTGATCCTCATATTTGCAGTTTCAGAAACTTGAAGTTAGTGTAGAGATAGATTTAACCATGTAAGTTTACAAATGACCGATGAGTTAAACGGAAAGTGGATTTATATTACATTGAGATCCAGAACTACCAAGGAATTCATATTTTTATGTTGTCTGGCAAGAAAGAAAAAAAAAGGAAACAAAATTCTAATCCTAATTTTGCTTGGCAAGTGTGCAGTTATACCAAAGGGAGTTAATGGTGTGATGCAAATATGTAAAGCTCTTAGATAAAGGTATCATATTAGTTCTAGCCCCACAATAAACTCTACCTGCTTACTGAGATAAACAGATCTAGCTAGTATTTGGTGCTAGTCTCTTTTCTTCCAGGTTTTGTGTGAATAGGAGGAGCCTACCATTTTTTGTATCTCTAACACCTCTTTTTTCTATGTTCTGTTACCATCACTTTACCTTTTTTGTTGTTTGTTTGTTTTTGTGGTACGCGGGCCTCTCCCTGCTGTGGCCTCTCCCGCTGCGGAGCACAGGCTCCGGACGCGCAGGCTCAGCGGCCATGGCTCACGGGCCCAGCCGCTCCGCGGCATGTGGGATCTTCCCGGACCGGGGCACAAACCCATGTTCCCTGCATTGGCAGGCGGACTCTCAACCACTGCGCCACCAGGGAAGCCCCATCACTTTACTTTTGATTGATCTTTTATAGTTGATAGATAGATAGATAATTTCTTATTTTCAGTGTTTTTGTAGGGAAACTTCAGTGCTTCTGTATACTCTCAACAGATACATAGTAGGAACCAAATAAGTACTTTTGGCCACTCTTGAATTTAGAACTTTAGAACCCTGAACTCTCTTTGAACAACTTCCTAGCCCTCTACTTTGTCATTTTGAGTTATTAGCTTTACTGTTTCTTTCATAAGTATAGTTGCATGAATGATCCCTTAGAAGGTATTTGTTTGCTGTTCTGGGGACCAGTGGCATTGAAGGGTGTGCCAGTGGACTTTACCTTGTGGTAATGAAAAGAATCAAACCACTGTCAGATACTATAAGTGATAACAACTGCAGGAGCCTTGTCTCATGGGTTAAGTATAGCTTTGCAATTACTAGAGACTGCCATGACTTTTTCCTCAAACGTCAAAATGTGTGGGATTATGGGATTTACAAGTGTTTATCTGAGCTGGGCTTTGAGTTTAGGGACCAGAGATCTTAAAATTTTATTTGTGCATGGAGACAAGATATTTCTTTTATTATTAAACAGATGATTGCTCTTTTCTTCAAAACATTGTACGTAGATAACTTTATTATGTTGCCTTAGCAGCATCAACATTCCTATATTTCATAGTTCCTGAAGATAATTTAGGACACAATTTTGAGAGCCATCATAAACACCCAAGCCCATATCCTTCACCAAGATTCCGAGCATCAGCTTTTCAAATCAGATATTATCTTCTAAGTAGGAAGAACCATATTAATAGATAACCGAGGAAAAAATGGAGAAATGTCACAAGACACTTAGCCAAGAAAGAATCAGATAACTAACAAGCAAGTCGCAAGAAATCCTTGTAAATAATAGTTCATCTGTCCATTGTGGTGGTGGTACCAATGATATTGGTACTAGGTGGTAGATTTGGAAATGCTGGTTAGTGTGCACTGTGCAGAGCCCCCTCTTATCTGTGTATAAAACAGAGTTCACCCAGTGGGAGCAACATTCAACTTCATTTCTACGTATGTTTATCCATCTTCTCACATATCTTTGTGATCTCAGAGGGAGGGATAACCTCTTTCATTTATTTATTTATTTATTTATTGTGGTACGCGGGCCTCTCAGTGTTGTGGCCTCTTCCGTCGCGGAGCACAGGCTCCGGACGCGCAGGCTCAGCGGCCATGGCTCACGGGCCCAGCCGCTCCGCGGCATGTGGGATCTTCCTGGAATGGGGCACGAACCCGTTTCCCCTGCATCGGCAGGTGGACTCTCAACCACTGTGCCATCAGGGAAGCCCCCCTCTTTCATTTATTAATGAATTTCTGTATTTGTACCCCAGACTCCATTATTTTCTACTTGTTTTAGGACCTTGATTTAATGATTATTTCATAATTCAGTGTCTCCCTCTTTGAATTTTAGATATCAAAAGTTTTTCTGGGTTTCCCTGGTGGTGCAGTGGTTGAGAATCCGCCTGCCAATGCAGGGGACACTGGTTCGATCCCTGGTCCTAGAAGATCCCACATGCCATGGAGCAACTAGGCCCATGCACCACAACTACTGAGCCTGTGCTCTAGAGCCCGTGAGCCACAACTTCTGATCCTGCATGCCACAACTACTGCAGCCCGCGCCTAGAGCCCGTGCTGCACAACAAGAGAAGCCACCTCAAGGAGAAGCCCGCGCACCACAAAGAAGAGTAGCCCCTGCTCACCGCAACTAGAGAAAGCCTGCATGCAGCAACAAAGACCCAACACAGCCAAAAATAAATAAATTTATTTTAAAAAAAGTTTTCCTTACTTTTGAAAGAACATCTTCTGTAACAATGCTCTTTTATTTACCTTTTAATTTTATTCTCTGCTTTCATTATCAAACTTTTCATGCTCATACCTAACAGCCTCAATTCTATTCAACTTTAATCTTTGAAGTTAGACTCTTATCATCTATTTTTCTCCTAAAATTATTTTGAAGAGACCCCTGAATCCTGAATTCTTTCTTGATAGAGATCTGTTCTTAGTCCTTTCCATATTCAGACTTTCAGCTGCATTTGATATTTTGTCTTTGCTTGTGTGACATCGCTAGATTATTTTCTGTTTTAATCTCTTTCCAAGTGCTTTTTCATTAGTTTCACTTCCTCCCTAACACAAATGCATGTCTTTTAAGGTTTATATTTTACTTGTTTATTTTTTATCCCAAAGAACCATGCATTCTGATATCCTCAAAAATAGTCCTTCCATGTCATTAATTCCCTGATATATTTTTTCAGCTCACATATCTCATTTGAGTTCCCCATACTTTCCATGCTTAGAGTGTATTGCTACTTGAATGTCCCACTTCACTTTAAATCACTTTAAACTCAATATGGTAAAAAGTGAAATCACCAAATTTCTCTAAGTAGCCTCTTTTTCCTTCTTCAGTATTTCTATAATTTGTACCAGTATTATTGGTACTATTAGTTCCTTTAAGTACCACTTAGGGGATGTACCACTATTACTTCCAGCTTTCTTGGCTAGAAACCAAGTATCTTTATGAATCTCATTTTGTAAAAATTCCTCATGATCAATGTTAGTATATTTCTGTTTCTTTCTTCCTTTTTATGTTTTAGATTTACTCCTATACTAAATTCTTTTGTATTATCCTAATCCAGGCCCATGTCATTTATATTATACTTTCTTGCTGAATTTGATAGCCTTATTCTATTATCCATTTTATTTATTTATTTTTGTTTTAATTTATCTTTGGCCACGTTGGGTCTTCATTGTTGTGTGTGGTCTTTCTCTAGTTGTGGTGAGTGGGGGCTACCCTTTGTTGCAGTGCATGAGCTTCTCATTGCAGTGGCTTCTCTTGTTGTGGAGCATGGGCTTTAGGCACATGGGCTTCAGTAGTTGTGGCACACAGGCTCAGAAGTTGTGACACGTGGGCTTAGTTGGTCTGCGGCACGTGGGATCTTCCCGGACCAGAGATTGAACCCGTGTCCCCTGCATTAGCAGATGGATTCTTAACCACTGCGCCACCAGGGAAGTCCCCTATTATCCATTTTAGATGAAATTAACAAGCACTTCATCTAAAACATCACACATTTATCGTGTTGCTACTATGACAGAAAACTTCAATTTTTCTCTCTCCTACTACATGACATTTCTCTGTTGGTCAGAATTTGTTATTATATGATTCCATTTCATTTTTCCTTTCTTATTTTTTCCTCTGCTTTCCAAAGACATATATTTGAACTAGTATCATTGACTCTTTGTCATGTCATGTACTTTTTATATCTTTATTTTTAATTATACTATGAATTTTGTCTCAGTGCTATCATTTCTTTTACCACACTTATCTATATTAATCCTTTCCTTCTTTAAACTTCCATATTAATCAGAACTGATACTGTATAATCTTTTGTTTTATCAGCAGTGGTTTATTTTTATTATATATTTTTCTGTAACTGATGAGTGAGCTTTGTTTTCCCCTTTATATTCCAGAGGGAAGAAATATTGTCTTCTGCTTAATCCTGAATATTATATCCAAAGTCCGAGCATTAATTCCAAAGCAGAAAGCTTCTGAAAAACAAATAGTGTCATGGCATGATGTTAGAACATTTTTCAAATGATGGTTCTACACATTAGAAGAATTGGAATTCAATAACCAATTTGAGAAACACAAATAAAATTAAATTATAAGGGAAAAATAATTCAAGAGGAAGATCATGAATATAACAGTTTGAGGGAAATATTAAATCTCAGCTCAAATCTTTTAAACAACTGAGAGTTTCTAGAAGATAAAGACCTCATAATTATGACACAAGTGGAGCTTAAAACATAATTCTGCTTCAATAGATTTTTTTTAAATGCAACTTATAAATGAAAAATAATTTTAAATATAAGAAAGGATGCATTTGTACCTCAAACCTTATTCTGGAAACAATTTAAATGTAAACCCATAATTCAGTACTAATGGAATCTGAGAAAATTTGTATGAGAGAGAAATGTAAATGTAAACTATGTGATAAATCCTTCAGCCGAAACACTAGTCTTATTCAACATCAAAGAATACATACTGGAGAGAAACCTTATGAATGTAATGAATGTGGGAAAGCTTTTAGTCAGAGCACTAACCTTATTCAACATCAAAGAGTCCATACTGGGGAGAAACCTTATAAGTGTAATAAATGTGAAAAAGCTTTTAGTCATAGGTCATCCCTTAGAAATCATGAGAGAATACATAGTGGAGAAAAACCCTATCCTTGTAATGAATGTGGAAAAGTTTTCAGCCATATTTCAGCCCTTACTCAACATCACAGAATTCACACTGGAAAGAAACCATATGCATGTGTTGAATGTGGGAAAACCTTCAGCCGGAGCACACATCTTATAGAACATCAAGGCGTTCATTCTGGGGAGAAATCCTACCAGTGTAAGAAATGTAGGAAAGTTTTTTGCCACAGCTCATCACTAATCCGACATCAGAGAACTCACACAGGAGAAAAGCCCTACAAATGTAATGAATGTGGAAAAACTTTCAGCCATAATCCAGCCTTCATTCAACATCAGAGAATTCATACTGGAGAGAAACCTTATGAATGTAATGAATGTGGAAGAGCTTTTAGTCAGAGCACTAACCTTATTCAACATCAAAGAGTCCATACTGGGGAGAAACCTTATGAGTGTAATGAATGTGAAAAAGCCTTTAGTCATAGGTCATCCCTTAGAAATCATGAGAGAATACATACTGGAGAAAAACCCTATCCTTGTAATGAATGTGGGAAGGCTTTCAGCCATATTTCAGCCCTTACTCAGCATCACAGAATTCACACTGGAAAGAAACCATATGCATGTGTTGAATGTGGGAAAACCTTCAGCCGAAGCACACATCTTATAGAACATCAAGGCGTTCATTCTGGGGAGAAATCCTACCAGTGTAAGGAATGTAGGAAAGTTTTTTGCCACAGCTCATCACTAATCCGACATCAGAGAACTCACACAGGAGAAAAACCCTACAAATGTAATGAATGTGGAAAAGCCTTCAGCCATACCCCAGCCTTCATTCAACATCAGAGAATTCATACTGGAGAGAAACCCTATGAGTGTAATGAATGTGGAAAGGTCTTTAATCGGAGTGCACATCTTACTGAACACCAGAGAACTCACACTGGAGAGAAACCTTATGTTTGTAAGGAATGTGGAAAAACTTTCAGCCAAAGTGCACACCTTACTGAACATCTAAAAATACATTCTGGTGTGAAACCCTATCAATGTAATGAATGTCAAAAACTATTTTACTATAGAACATCACTAATTCGACATCAGAGAACTCATACAGAAGAGAAACCCTACCAGTGTAATGAAGTGGGAAAACCTTCGGCTTAAGCTCAGCCCTTACTAAACATAAGCGAACACATACAGTGGAGAAACCTTATCAGAGTAATGAATGTGGGAAAACCTGCAGCCATAGGTCATCCCTTAACCCTGAGCACTCACAGTAGTAAAAATCTCTTAAGATTGTTATGCAAGAAAAACTTGAGGTAAAATACTCATTTACTCAATATTATAGTGTTTGTACTGAGAAGAAACACCGTTCTTGTAATTCACCTGAAAAATGTGTTATCATTGATATAAAAATTTATAATGGAAACAGTCATCTCTAAAACTGAAATTTGTCTTTTAAAGACATTTAGAAAATTAATTTTAGAGATAATTTATTACCAATGTATATATTTGCTTATAATTAAAGCCTTTTCAGATACACAGAAGTTTTAGATAGATGATAAAAATTGTTTATATATAATCTTTTTAGTAGTTCTTATCTTATTTTTAAATATTAAAGTAACACCTTTATAGAGGGTTTGAATTTTAAATTTTGACAAGTTTAATTAAGCCATAGATAAGAATGCTTTCCCCACAGAGATAATATGCATTATTTTCCAGTATTCATGGAATTAAAAAAATTTTTTTTTAATTTATATTTTTGGCTGCGTTGGGTCTTTGTTGCTACTCACAGGCTTTCTCTAGCTGCAGCGAGCAGGGGCTACTCTTCGTTGTGGTGCATGAGCTTCTCATTGTGGTGGCTTCTCTTGTTGCGGAGCACTGGCTGTAGGCGCGTGGGCTTCAGTAGTTGTGGAATGCCGGCTCAGTAATTGTGGCTTGCGGGCTTAGTTGTTCCGCAGCATGTGGTATCTTCCCGGACCAGGGCTCGAACCCGTGTCCCCTGCATTGGCAGGCAGATTCTTAACCACTGCACCACCAGGAAAGTCCTGGAATATATTTTTTTAATGGACTATATATATGGCTACAAAGAAAATTTCAACAAGTTCTCCCTGAGGGAAATATTCAAACCTTCCCTGTTTATTTATATATTTTTTACCACAGTGAGATAAAAGAAAAGAACAACAACTGAAAATAGCACCACAAAATTATTTAGAAATTAAAAATAGTTTTCTAAGTAAGTTTTGTGTTAAAGAATAAATCCAAACAGAAAAAATGCAATTATTAGAAAATAATAAAACTGGAACATAAATTTTCAATTTGAAAAGATAGGCAACCAAATAATAATTTAAGCCCAAAGAATAAAAAAGGAATGCATTAATAAAGATAAAAGAATACATTAATAAACTAAGTACAAAAAGTACATCTGATAAGTCAATATATAAATTCTAGCAAGTAGGATAATGGGAAAGAAAGGAGAAAACACAATATCTAGGAGTAAGGAAAGAAATATAAATACAGATAAAAGGGAAGTTTAATTTTCTAATTCAATCATTAACAAGTGAAATCTAGCAGTTTAGTAAAATTAATACTGATATTTGTCATAGCACTTCCAGACTAGTTCAAAAGGAGAAACGTACATTAATAAAGAAAGACTGTATTATACTAGATTCAGTAAAAGGATTTGGCAATATTCTACAGTCATTGGCATTGTTTTAAAGTTAGGAATAGAAGGAAACTTCCTTAAATTGATAAGAGATATTTACCAGAAACCTACCAAACACTGCATATAACTAGAATGTTCTTATCAGAAGCAGGAACAAGACAAGTGATGCTTAATGTCAGCACTCTTAGCAATGTTCTACAGGTCTCAGGTAATTCAATAAGAGACAAAATTCTGAGCCAGTAATATTTAAAAGGAAGAGAAAAAATCCTGACATCATGAGATGATATATTTGGTAGCTAGAAAATCCAGCTAGTAGGGCACATATATATTATCAACAATGCCCAAATAAAAAGCTTTCTTAAATAAAAGAAATTAAAAATATAATGGAAAAAAGTGACAGTCACAGTATTGACCAAAAAAAAAATCTAAAAATGCCAGGAATAAAAAAAAATTCCAAGAGATGATTATAGGATAAATTTGTTTCTAAAGGACATAGAATATTATAATAAATGAAGAGGCACGATTAGAAAAATTGTATAAAGATGTCAGTTTGTTTTAAATTTATCTTTGATTTGCAAGCTTGAATCAAAATCTCAGTAGAGTTTTTAAAAATTACAGCTTTATTGAGATATAGTTCTCATACCACATAATCCAATTTTTCAAAGTACAATTCAGATATTAACATATTCACAGAGTTGTGTGACTGCCACCACTATCTAATTTCAGAATATTTTCATTACCCCAAAAAGAAACCCATACCTATTAGCAGTGACTCTCCATTGCTCTTCTCCCTCCAGCTCCTGGAACTACTCATCTACTTTCTTTTTCTGAGGATTTGTCTCTTCTGGCTTTTTTATTTCAATAAAATCACAGAATATGTGGTCTTTTGTGGCTGGCTTTCACTTAGCATTATGTTTTCAAGGTTTGTCCATGTTGTGGCACACATCACTACTTCATTTCTCTTTATGGCTAAATAACATTTCATTGTATGTGTATACCACATTTTGTAATCTGTTCATCAATTGACGGACATTTGGGTTGTTTCCACTGTTTTGTTATTGTGAATAATGCTGCTATGAACTTCCACATATAAATTTTTGTAATGTCATGTTTTCAGTTCTCTTGCACATGTATACCAGGAAGTGAAATTGTTGAGTCTTATGTTAACTCTGTGTTTAAACTTTTGAGGAAATGCCAGACTATTTTCTAAAGCAGCTGTACCAGTTTTCAGTCCCATCAGCAACATATGAGTGTTCTTATTTTCCCCTGTCATTGTCAATACTTGTTTTTTTCTGTGAGATAGATATATATATACATAACAATATATATATATTTATATACATATACATAAATATATATGTATATTTTCTTTGAGGAAATGTCTATTTGGATTCTTCAGGCATTTTAAATTAGGTTATTTATCTTTTTATTGTTGAATTTTAAGAGTTCTTTATATATTCTGGATACTGGACCCTTATATATCTAATTTGCAAATATTTTCTCCCATTCTGTTGATTGTCTTTTCACTTCTTGATGATGTTCTTTGAAGCACAAAAAGTTTCAATTTTAATGTAGTCCAGTTTACCTATTTTTCTTTTATTGTGTTTCCTCTTGTTATAACCCAAGGTTGTGAAGATTTACATATTTTCTTCTAAGAGTTTTACAGTTTTAGCTCTTTTAGGTCTGTGATCCATCCCTTTTGAGGTAACTTTTTAATATATGGTGTGAAGTATGGGTCCAACATCATTCTTTTTCATGTGAATATTCAGTATTCTCAGCACCTTTGTTGAAAAGACTGTTCTTTTAATTGTCTTGGCATTTAATTGTCTTGGCATCCTTGTCACTCAGTGGGATTTAAAAATGAAATTTAGGGCTTCCCTGGTGGCGCAGTGGTTGAGAGTACGCCTGCTGATGCAGGGGACATGGGTTTGTGCCCTGGTCCGGGAGGATCCCACATGTCGCGCAGCGGCTGGGCCCGTGAGCCATGGCCGCTGGGCCTGCGCGTCCGGAGCCTGTGCTCCACAACGGGAGAGGCCACAACAGTGAGAGGCCCACGTACCGCAAAAAAGAAATAATAATAATATCTCAAAACAGAGAAAGAATGGACTATTCAATAAGTGATATTGGGATAACTGGCTATTTATTCGGAAAAATACCTCATAACATACACAAAATTAAATTCCAGAAGGGAATAATTGCATGCCGTCTTGTGGTAGTTTTCCAGAAGACAGGAACTGGGCACACAAATCTGAGGTTTTCTTCAGATCCTTCCATAACTGAGGCAGGAGATAGATGGGCCCCAGGCTGAGCAGCTTGGAGTTCGCCCCCACCGTGGACAGATACTCCAAAATAGCAGAAGGGAGGAGAAGCTAAGCCCTGCCCAGATAAGAGACCAAATATTTCTCATTCTCAAGGTCAAGTAGACCTTCCTGACTACACATGAGCAGAAAGGCTCCTTGAAGGTCAAAAAGGGGGGTGAGCGCCATAGCATAGTAGATGATGTCAACCTACCCATAGGCCTCTTTGCTAGAATCCATCTTGCCTAAGAGATGCATGTGCACACGTGGGAGGACCCTGAGATATACCAAATATGGACTCAGACCAGGTAAAGCAAGATGATTGGCCAAAGGAAACCAGGAAGAAATGCCCCCTAAACTATCACAAGGGTGCAACTCTTTCTCTAAGCCCACTCGTTTTTCTGTCCACCCGTACTCCTTTTCCTCCTAATAACCCTTTACTCCTTTCATTGCTTTTCATCTTTGTGGGAATTCTATCCTGCAGAGCTGAAGAGCCAGGGCCTTGTCACTGGCCACTGGCCTAGTGGCTAGGATTCAGTGCTCTCAGTGCCGCTGCCCGACCTCAATCTCTAGCCGGGAACTGAAGCCCTGCTTCAAGCGGCTGCAGTCCGAGGCCATCCAAGATCATAACCACTATTGGATAAACACAAATTTTAGAGTTTTGGAAAAGTTTTATTATAACTACTGATAGAATTATAATGGCATGGCTCTTCAAATCACTGCAAAAATTGGAAAAACGATAGAAAAGGAATAAACCTAAAACAAAGGAACAAGTAATATTGGGTATAACCATTTTATCAGTGAAGATCCCTTTTAAAAATTGCAGCTTTTAGATTAGATTTACAGGAAGGAAAACTAACATTTGTTGGTTGCTAAATTAAATAGTGTAGAAATTAAGGTGCTAAGGTTATCTAACTCATCCATGGTTACCCAGCTTTTAAGGGCAGGACCAGGATTACAAAACAAATACATCTAAAATTATGCAAAAACTTTCACAATAAAAAGGTAGACAAAAATAAATCTGTAGGGCTCTGATGACAAACCTTGTATGAATTTTGCGATGACAGCATACACAAGGGCCTATGCCATAGGGTAGAGCCCATTATTGGGCAGAATATGGACATAGGAAGCCAAAGATATGCATTTTCATTTTCTAGGGCTGATGTAACAAATTACCAGAAACTGCATGGCTTAAAAACAACAGAAATTTATTGTCTCTCAGTTCTGCAGGCCAGAAGTCTTAAATCAAGATGTCGGCAGGGCCACATTCCTTTTGGAGCCTCTACAGGAGAATCCTTCCTCACCTTTCCAACTTCCG